CGACAGTATAGTAGGTTCCGGTTTTCGGCATATCTATCCCCCTCTATAAAGGGCTAACATACTCTTCCTTTCTCCTATACTTTAGTTCTCAAGTCACTAAAAGGGAACCTATACTAGTAATAATCCACTCCTCGTTGACTTTAGGGAAACGTTCCCTTGGAGACTCAACTAGACCAACTCCCCCGAGTTAATAGTCTTCCTCTTAGACACTCCTCTCAACTAGGGTTCCTAATTCCTCCGACTCGTCGTCAGAATCATAGAGTTCAGGCGTGCTGTCTGGAGGCCCCCACCAGCCGCTGTCTAAGCCTAGCTAAGTATCGTGCTCCTATTCTTCCATGCGATGGGTAGTATTAGCTTGTCTTAAGGTCTCGGTTTCCTTAGTGGTATTAGCTTGCTTGCCTTTTCCCTTATTGTAGGAAGATGCAATGTGGCCAGGTAGCCTACACTCGTAATAGAGTCCCTTCTCTCAACGCTCTTTCCTAACTTCTGGCGAAAGCTGCTTCTTAGGCTTCTTCCCATAAAAGCCTCCTCTTTCGCTCTTCCTCTAACCTCTAGCTATGGTTGCGTCGAGCTATATGGGATCCCCCTTATCATATGACTTTAGAAAACCCTGTGTTTAACGATAAGAGTACACTCCTTTTCGCTCAAGGCGCCTCTCGTAGAACCGCTCGTCGAATCTTGCGGCTAGGCGTATAGTCTCCTAGAGGCTAGTGGGTTTAGGTTCCACTCGAGCGAGCTCGTCCTTAATAAACTCTTTGAGGCCCATGTAATACGTTCTTTTCAGAGCCTTCCCATCCCATCTAGCCTGACCAGAATACTACTAGAACTTAGAAGTATAGTCCTTAACAGACCTTGTCTGTCGTAGCCTCAATAATTCCCTTTCAGCCGTTTTCTCGACTTCTAGATCCCTGTAAACCCCCACTATAGCCTTCTTAAATCCTCCAAACCCTCTGAAGATGACCTTAGTCTCTTCCCTAACACTATTGAGGATCGTTCTAGTTGTTGCGTGTCGATTAGTCATATAGTCAGACAAGTAGGCCTTAAACTAGTTGAAGGCTAGTCCCCTTAGGTAGCTAGCGGCAAAAGCTACCTTAGCCCCCTCGCTAGGGAACAGGTGTGAGTTGAACATCAAATAGATATCCATAGAACAAAGGAATGATTCGAGCTTGTGTTGGGTACCGTTGTAAGTGTCTAGTACCTTGACAGCTAGGGTACGTTCTTGTACCGCGATAGTCGTTACCTCCGTAGGTACTAGGGTCTCTACTCATCCAGAGGTAGACATAGTTGCCGAATACTAACTTTAAGACTAGGTGCTCAAAGTGTCACAACTC